CCCAGCTCCCCACCCCCCACCGTCCCTCCCGTATTTCCCCCCAACTGGCCCCAGTGTGTAGTGCCCCCCTCCCGTGTCCATGTGTTCTCATTGTTCAACACCCGCCTATGAGTGAGAACATGCGGTGTTTGAGTCCTAACTTTCAAAACAAACTAAGTGAATTGTTGGTCACTTTACAGAAGGATTTTTCACTTTACTAAAGACAAATATTTTAGCCTAATGTGGGTAACATAAATTTTGATGAAAACAAGGGTACCTTTCAAAGGTACGGAGATAAAAATGTCATCCCGGCTTTACTTAGGTAATGGTCATTTTAGAATCCCATTGTGCCAAGAACCATGCCTTATACATCCTAGCTATTCAATAATTATTCATATTCACCATACTAAAGCAGCCTGCCAAACACTTCATCAAGATGCACCTTAATGGTGGGAGGTAGGGTTCCTCTGCTTCAGCAGCAGTGACATATTGGGCCAGGTAAGTCTTTGTTGTGGGAGTCTCCTGTGCATCACAGGATGCGTAGCAGCATCCCTGGCCTCTACTGCTAGATGCCAGTAGCACTCCTGTCACTTGTGACAATCAAAAATGTCACTAGACCTTGCTAATGTTCCCCATTGTTGACATCTCCCCCAGTTGAGAAACACTGGTCTGATCTTTTTATTCTTCTTAAAGTCATTTGTTGCTATGGCAAGTGTTTCCAAAATGCCAGCTTAAACCTTTACTGGAAGTAAAAATAGTATTTATTTTAGGGGGAAAAATGTTCTCAAATGTTTTACAAGCTTCTCCTCTAAGTAATTCCATAGGAAACAGGTAGTCAGATGGAATTGTGAGCACAACATATTCACAGTAAGATAAATTCCAACAATTTCAAATTTCCCTTTCAGACTAAGCACGTAACAAAGTTGGTAGACTTTCTCAAAAATGACTTGCATTCTGACTTTGCTATGCTTCCAGGGAATCTGTTTATATTTATGCAGAATTTCACTACACTTTTTAAAAAGTGATTTTTTAAATGTTCCAAGACTTTTTTTTAATAAAGGAAAAACATGTAATCAACAACCACAGATTTAATGTTGTCCCTTGTGACTTTTGACTTTCTCATTACAGGGTCACAATATCTTTGCTAACCTGTCCTCCAAGGAATATAGTGACCTTATGCAGCTTTTGAAGCAGTCAATATTGGCCACAGACCTCACACTATACTTTGAGTAGGTATTGGCATTTGATCTATTTGACAAATGGATATCTAAAGTTCCATCCTGTAATTGATCTCCAGGTCTACACTGGCGGTTTCCTACTATTCTAGCATGGATATCAGTGTGTAAATGAGCTAAACCTTTTTTGTCGTTTCTCTCTCCTATAAATGATGTTCATTAAGGTGTTATGTATAAGCGAGAGAATCAAGGCTACAATCGCAAGATTTCTATTTGTCTTCTGTTTTATGAGCCTTGTTTATGAGCCTTGTTTGACACACAACTCTGAAACTAAGTGATGGCCATTTTAATTTTAGATACTGACTAATATTGCTATTTAAGACTATTAACTTCTGGTCAGCTGTATAATGGCACTGATAATAAAGATGAAAAATATTCACTGATTGAAAATTAACTAGCAATCCAACAGTTCATTCCTTACTTCTTTTCTTTCTCTTTCTTTCTCTGCATTTTGCCAAAGTTCAGGCCTTTCTCTGAGCTGGAAATTGTACCCTCCCATTTCCGGTGAGACCTGCTTTATCAGGTGCCACCTCTTTTAGCAGCCTGGAAATTTCTCCTGCCGCTGATTTGCACAATTTTTTCCTATCTTAGAGACCAAGCTATGCTACTCCCTTAAAAAATTATTTCATTTGATCCCATGGAAATCTTTAGTTGCTTTTTTATTTACCTTTCTTTTACTGTCTACCTTTTTAAATAAATAGAGCACATTTAGTACCTCTATTTTCCTAACACCCATTTACACCATCAAGAACAGAGTCTGTCTCCACTCTATTAAGATTGTACTCTCAGAGGTCACCAGAGACATACATTTCTTTCCTCGGATATGATGATCTGTACTCACTTCTGATAGTTTCCATCTTCTTTGAGATATCTGAAGGTTTAATGAGTTATTATCAATTTCTACTCTCCTTGCTTCCCCTATCTCCAGCCGCCTTTCTCTTTTCTCTTCTAGATCCTTGGCAGGTTTCTTTTCTCCTTGCTCCTGTGTTTAAGCTCTTGAACCATGTTCTTCTTTCTCTACTCAGATCACTCCTCTGGCCTCATCTCTATGTTACTTCTATGTATGTTATGACCTTTGTGTAGAAGACTCTGAAATTCTTCACTCTAACCCTCCCTCACACTGTAGACCTGTATCTCCAACTTCCATCTCAAAAAACCTTCAGTGTCCTCATTGCTTTCAAAGGAAGCTCTAAACTTGGTTTGACTTTCAAGGTCCTCTATAATCTGCCCCAACCTTATTTCGTTCTAACCTTCCACTTCTCCCTACGTGACTGCTCTATGTCAACCAGACTAGTCTATGCATTACCCTTTGGAACACCCTGTGTAATGTTCCTTGTGCCCTCACCCTATCACCATTCCCACATGGAATCCTGTTCCTTCACTCGCTGACTTCCTGAACTGACCATCCTTTAAGATCTGTCTCTTCTACCACTTTTTCTAGGAAGTCTCGTGTCACTCGCTTTGAAATGACTCCATTTGAAAAGCACTGTGGCATTGCATCAGTTAGAATTAGGTTCAATTGTAAGGGATGTCCAAAGCTTAAGACACTCAAAGCTCAAAGAGATTGCTAGAAAGTCAGTCTATAAAATGTTCAGCACCCAGGAAGTCCTCTACCAACACAGCCAGGTCACTCCCTTTATTCTACCTGAGGAAGGCCAGAAATTTATTCTCTGGAGAAATAAAACGAAGACCTCTGATCTGAGGAAAGGTACAGGGTGGGAATGAGATATGGTGCTCAGAAGAAGGGATTAAATTAAATGGAACCAGTCTCTGGATTGAAAACCGATAGGTCATGGCCAAGCACTTAGAAGCTAGGGGTCTATAAGCCCCACACCCAGGGTTGTCAGATTTAGCAAGCAGAAGTACAGAAAGTCCAGTTACATTTAAATTTCAGATAAATAATGAATAGTTTTTTAGGATAGAAAGATAATTAGATATCTCATGAAACATTTGGGACATATTTATACTAAAAATTATTTTTTGTATATTTCAGAATAGCTATAAGAGAGGACTTGAAATGTTCCTAACAGATAGAAATGGTAAATATTCAAGGTGGCAGATATCCTAAATACCCTGACTTGATCATGGCACATTCTATGCAAGTAATAAAATGTCATATGTGCCCAATAAATATGTATAAATATTATGTATCAATAAAAATTTTGAAAATAATTATTTTTATCTGAAACTCAAATTATTTTATCTAGCAAGTGTACCCCTCCCACACACACACAACTCCCATTTAGCTTTTTAATGCATTACTATTACACGTGGAAAACAGAATCACAGAACATTTTATAAGCATCCAATATGAAGGACGGGGGCCAAAACAGACAGAAAAAAAATGAAATTCAGAGAAAACAGGGAGAGGAAGAAAACAAAAAACTAAAAAATGCTGTTAGTATTCTCAGAGAGGTAACATATTGCATCCAGGAAACAAGAACAGGATGCTTTTTAAAAATAATAATAGGAGCAACCATGAAAAAGAAAGCACTTTTAAAAATTAAGAACATAAACAAAATTAAAAAATCAAATGAAAGCATTAGGAAATACAGGCCAAGGACAAAAGGCAGCAAGACGGAAAACACTGCTATATTTTATTATATGTCTTTAGTGCTATTTGATTTGTTAACTATGTTCATGTATTACTTTGATACATGTAATTTATAATTAGTTTAAAAAATATACTTAAAAAATTGAAATCCCAGCTCTGCCACTAATTAGCTGTGTGCCAGCAGATAAATTATTTACTTCTCTGAGCCTTTCTTTCAAGTATAAAACGGAGATAACAGTACCTATGTCATGTCTTTTAAATGTCTCATAAATGGTGACATCTACAACCTCATTTGCTTTATAACCTATTTATTTTGCAAGTTCTGTGGCCCTTTAGTTGACCTAAATGACATAATCTTTCATCTTTTTCTTGATTAATGCTCCTTGATTTGGAATTTATGGAAAGCCTGTATCCTTTTAATGTTTTATTGCCTGTCCCTCACACTTGCAGGATCTTGTGTTATTTTTCTCAAAGTAGAAGTATTTTCCAAACTATGTTTCCAAGTAACTTCTAAAGAGAGAGCAAAAAAATCTCAACACTCAGAGTCCATTTATCAAGCCCTGTTAGGGATTTGATGAATCACTGAGTGACCGCTGGCATGCAGTCAAGGAAGTTGGTTGCAACTCGTTTTCTCATTACCCTGTTCTTATCTTAATGCTGCAGCCCCTGCTAATGTTTGCTGACTCCCAAAGAAGCTGGCTTGTTCTCTTTTTGTCAGCATTATTGTTTTTTGAGGTTCTGAATAGCTGCCCACTCTCTAATCTAGACCTTCAGAGGACTGGTTCACTTGCCTGTCTAAAGTTGCATTAAAATATTGCCGTATTTTTAGCCAGAACAACCCTAGGGTTATAATGAGGGGGAAAGCAGCTACTGCAAACTGTCACCTAGATGTTTTTATTTAATAGATGTGCAGTTGTGGGATTGGAAGTGATCTTAGAAATGTTGCAATCCAATTCATCTCTTTTATTTTGCTGATCAGGCGCTGAGATCCCAATGGTTAAACAGCATAGCTCAGGTCGCATAACTCATTATTGGCAAAACTGGAACCCACACCTCCTCTTTCAGGGCTTTTTCTTCAATCACAATTGTTCACTGTCTAATGGAAGAATCAAGAAATAATTGTAATTTTAATTGGGGATATATTATGTGATAATGTTAACCTTTCCAGATGTTCTATAATCAGTTTAAACACCAGCTTGGGGTCCCTGTGTCCTCTACCAAAGCAAAGTTGGAGCTAAGGGCTTGCATTCAGGTAGTTTTGTTTTGGAAATGATACCAAGAATAAGAGTGAGGGGATGGGACAGTGAAATGGGGAAGGAGGGAAGCCAGTGAAAGGAAGGACACATTTCTTTGTTGTTCACTGCTATGGTCAGCTTGATGCTGCAGGGACCATCTGTGAAGTCTCATATATTGCACTTCAAAATTGTCTACCACCCACCATCCTCATCAGCCAAAGGTCACTCTGTGGGGTGTTAACTCTCACATACTTCCAGGTTGTATGTGCCTGATGGCTGGGCATTCCTGCAGCCATCCCATTTTTGGTCCCACACATGAAGTCAGAGCAGTGCCAGGGCAGAAAGTATGTGATCCGCCTGACCACCGAGGCACGGCGTGTAGCAGCAATGGCAGGAGAGGGCTAGGTGGGCCAAGAGGATATAAAGGTCCCCGTACAACTAGTTTCTGGAAGTCTGGATTATTGTTGGTTCTTCTACCCTGACTACTCAGCTCAAAAGTCATGATACAGTTAAATAAACCAAATAGGAAGCTCACTGTCCCTCTAGGAGAGGTCTAGGCTGGGTGGGATAGAGGCCTGCCTTTTGGAGACGGGTTTCTGACTCATTCCCAGGGGAAGGATTTCTTGCCATGCTCTAACAAGAAAAAATATATAAGATTCATGGAAATGTGGAAAGGCTCTCAAAACATCCACAAAAGTTTATGACTTTAATTTCTAAAGACCTTGTGTGTCCTTGGGATTCTGTGCTATTCAAATGGCATATGAAAGCAGAATTCACAAGATTAAAATACAAAAACAAAATCCTTAATGTGAACTTCTAAGTTTCACAACCTGAGCCTGGGGGTTAATGATTCATTCTGATTTTCTAACTCAGTGAAGACGTTTTCCAGTTACTACTGAGTGATTTTCTGAAATTGATTTCTGTGCCTATTTCTGAGTCCCTGCAGTGAATAAGGCTTTGATAATTAAGTAGTAATTTCACCAACTTTAAGAGTCAGATCTCTCTTTGCTTCAGTTTCCTTGTCAGCAACATGTGTATAGGCATATCACCCATTCTAATCTCCTAGGATCCTGTGGCGGTTAAAAGAGATTAACTTTATGAAAGACCTTTGACAATGTAAAGTTTCTTATAAAAAAAAGGAATCACTCAGCCAGAAAACTTAATAAAATATGCACCATAAAAGATGATGCTTGTTGGAGTGGGCC